CTTGTATTTTGATTGTGATAACCTTAAAGTATTATTGCTATCTCAATGCATTGAAGTTGTGCAACGTGAACACTAGAGGGCAGAAAATCTTAGAGGTTACTTCTGTGTAGTTCACTACTTTTTGCAACGGTACAATATCCAGTTCATAGTACTGAGTAGATTCATGAGGTAGTTCTTCTACAGAGTCTAGAGCAGTCTCCTCGGGACGACTGGTGAGAGGATTGCAAGGACTGTTTCTTTTTAATCTGCGGAACTTTGTTTACTTTCTTCTTAGACTCTGTAGTTTTCGCCTTCCCACTTCCAAGAGTTTCTGCTTTCTGCGATTCACGTGACACAGATCGGGATTTTGTTGCTTTAGTTTCTAACATCCCTTTGTTTCCAGCTGCCTTTGGCTGTGATGTCTGTGGCTTTACTAAAGCCGCTGATGCTGACACTACAGTGGCTTTGGGTACCTTAGACTCTGACACTTGTGCACCTTTTAATTCTGCAGATGGTATTGTGACTGTGGCGTCGATTATGATTGATTTTGACAGTGATGATTCCTCTAATGCTGTTGTCTCTGACATTCTAGAGGCTCTCTGTATCCTTGACTCTGGTGTCACTGTTTCACGCGATGTTGCCAATTCTAAAGTCAGTGGTGCCTTTGTCACCTTTGGCTCTGATGGCACCTCATCCTTTGATGATGCCGATTGAGCTTTTTCTGCGGCTTCTGTTACCCTTGACTCCAAAATCAGTGGATCCTCCATTAGTCTTGACACTGAGATCACTGGCATATCCAAAAACTCTGACTGTATGAATTTTGTCGGGTGTAACATCTGTGCTTCTAAATTCACTTCGTCTTCATCATCAGAATCTGAACTTAACTGTGAGTGTATTTCCTCCAGATCCGAACTCCCCAGATCTTCAAATGTTTCTGACTCTGAACTCGACGAGTCTTCTACTGCATACGCCGACGCCATTGTCTGCTTGTCGACATCTTCCAGTGTCCAGCTTTCATTTCTGAAATAATTTTTTTTTGGAAAGAATTTGTATTTGCTGTTGTTCGTTTTGGTACAGGAAGCTTTCCGACTTAGATCCTCGGACATTACTTTAGCCATATCATCTTTCTCTTGATATTTTAACTGCAAACACCTCCTATGAGGCGGATGGTCATTACCTGAGCCTGCAGACGTCTGCTCGTCCAACTTTTCTTTTTTCTTTAGGTCATCCTCCCTAACAGAATCCTCATTGTGCGAGTAGGCGGTAGGTAAAAGAACTAGTCCCTGAGTCTGAACCACTTTGTTTTCTTTGTCTATCTTGGTTGATCCTTTCAGGAACCTATTGGAGTAAATATTGTGTACTTGTAGTTTTTTTGCTTTGTCCTCATTTTCCTTTGTGAGCTGATAAATCTGCTGTTGTAGATCGCAGGAAAAATTTCTTGCCTTATAAAGCTTTTTTTGCACGGTGGCTAGCTGGCGATTAAATGAGTCTTGGCACAGTTGAAGGTTCTTCTCCAAGTATATTACCCTCTTGTCCTTCTCCTCCAGCTCAGCATTGGCCTCGCCCAACATGCGAATGAGCTCCTCTTTCTCCAGCAGGCTTTGATCCTGGCTGAGTTGCTGCAGATGATCCAGTCTGCTTTTTGTGTTAAGCAGCTCATACTCTGTGGCCTGTAGCTGTCTCGACAGGTGATTACGACACCTGCGAGTGTCACGTAGCAGAGCTCGCAAGCCTCGGACTTCGTTCTTGTGCTTGTTAATTGTCTCTGAAATGCTCCCCTCCGAGTCTTGAAAGTGCTTCAGAGCCACTTTGTAGCGATTCTGGACCCTTTTCAGCAATTTGTTCTCACTCTGAGCCTCAGCCAGCTGCCTCTGCAGGTCCAATACCTGGCTTTTCAGCTCTTTGGTACCAATAAACCTTTCCACCTGGAGTTTCAAACTTTGAGTCCCTTGGGTTTTCTTACTAATCTTTGACTGTGAGGACTTCGATCTTTGCCCCTTGTCTAGCTCATAATGTCGATATTTGTCCTTGAGCCTGTCCCCCCGTTCCTCAGATGAGCCTCGTAGACTAGTACAGTCACATAATGTTTTAGGAGTGGTGGGCCTGTTGTAATCGCCGTCATATTGAGGCAGGGCCTCCCCCACCGGTGTGTTCCTACTACTTACAGACATTTTTTCACCTGGTTATGTCACTCTTCTTACACAATCTAAAGACGTCCGTTTGGCCTACAGTTGTTCAACTCTGAAAATGAGATAAGAAGCTGCATGGACTTGTTGAATGGTCAGTGTTTTCCGAAGCAGTTGGCATCTCAAGTATATCATTACTGCCCTCCTGTGGACTTATCATTCCCTTACTGTCTGCCCTCTTTTTGGACTCAGCGTTCTCCTTAAACTTTTTTGACCTAGCTGAGTTAACTGAATGAATAGCCGAGTGCTCTGACATCACCGCGTGAATGGAACCTTGGCCTTTAATCTTTTATGATATCAAAGTAAATAAATAATGCTGTACCTGTGACATCATTTATCCCACTGGAGTTGTTTTCCCCGCAATCTATCGTTTTTATGAATTTGTTCTGTTTCTGGATGTTCTTAGTAGATTTCTCCTATTGTGTTGTTACATTTGTGCTTATGACTAGAAGCTTCTCTGGTGTCTTTCTCTTCCCTTCCTGATTGGCAGCCTGGTTTCATTTGTACAGTGTTTCTTCAGTATCTCCATCACATCGCAGTCTCCTTCAGATGTTGTCATTTAAAATCTGAGTGAACCTGGCGCAAAATCAAACATCTCATAGCAGATCTCTCTACTATCTATCTGACATGCTTCACTGTGTTTGCCCATTTGTGTACTTACCATTGATTATATATACTGAGCAAATCCAGTCCAGTCTCCATACAGAGAAGCGAACACTGTTAAGCTCTACTCAGAGAAGTCAAGTTGTCCCTTCAGGAGTCCCTGTCCCAGTGTTTGATGACATATTGGGGTGGAGCCGCAATGGTCGAGTAGGCTGGAAATGTGACTGGGGGTGGTCAGGCGTAGAAAAGGGTAAAGATTTTGAAGGGGTGGTTTTACTGGGAGCAGAGGCATTTGAGTCAGGGCACACATGCCTCAGCTGTGAGAGGCCCTTCTCCCCTTGGCTGGCTGGCATCCCAGAGCAGAGGCAGAGAGAGACAGAGACAGAGCGGGTCGAGTGTGAGAGACGGCGGGTGAAGAGAGAAAGTAGGGTGCGAAGTAGATTAGGAAGAGGAAAACCAGTGTTGGCTAAAGTTTTCTAAGAGGTAGGCAAAAGCATCAGTGCCGGGTTTTGTGTCATTTGCAACTGAAGTTGGTCTTTACTTTTGTATTTTTATTTTTTAGTTAGCCTGTAAGTCAGTTGGATTAGACGACCATGGCGGATACAGGTGTCAAGAAGGAGCGCTCAGCCCTGGCAGACGTGTCCTATGACGATGATGATGAGGTAGCTCTGGTGGCCGCTGCCACCGAGCCGTCAGTAGATGACGACCACGTTGAGGACAAAGATCAGGTGCTGAACCCTGGAGTGAAAAGTGAAGCCCAGATGAACGGGGTCATGGTTCTGTCTCTGCTGGACAAGATAATTGGGGTTGTAGACCAGATCCAGCAGACCCAGCACGGCCTCGAGGCCCGGCAGGAGGCCATGGAGAAATCAGTGTCAACCATCCAAGGGGAGTTGGCCAAGTTGGCCAAGAACCACGTAGGCACCACCAACACTGTCAACAAAATGCTGGAAAAGGTACGCAAAGTCAGTGTCAACGTCAAGACGGTGCGCAGCAACCTGGAGAAGCAGGCGGGTCAGATCAAGAGGCTGGAGAGCAATGAGAACGAGCTGCTGAAGAGACGTAACTTCAAAGTCCTCATTTACCAGGTGCGTTGGCACGTCGTAATTACAGTATTTCTGAATGTGATCGTGAGATTATACTATTAAAATACTCCATAAATATTAGCCTGGTATATGACAATGTAAATGGAAATATACTAAATACCTATAATACTAAATAATTGTGAAATACGATGACATATACTGTGAATGAATGAGTTCACTTTCTGCACAAACGTTGCTGCAGCTGCAGGAGCAACCTTTTTTTAACTGAAAGTTTCTTAGGTGCACTCCAACAGAGCACACTGTGGTCTCGTTTATGTACTTTCCATGACATAAATGTCAGCCTCACATTTTCCTGAGACGTTTGGGCTCCAGACACTGCGGTGCTGTGTTCAGGAGCAGCGAGGTGGAATCTCTAAGGTATAGTGAGTGACCTCTGCTGCTCCACAGCCCGCTTCAAAATGGCTCAGCGAAACTAAAGAAAGACTAGTGAGTGTAAATAAAAGTGTTAGACCTTATAAACAGTGGCATGAGGGGCTACTTGAGACACAACCAACGCCCTACGTGCTCAGGGAACAGATTGTTGGCAGGCAGAGGCCGTGAAAGACGAAGATGAAGTTTTTATTATGAGTGTTTCTCGCAAGTGAATGAATATGAGCAAAGTGTTGGTGTTGGTGCATTACTGAAATATGAACCTACAGATTTGAGATAGAAGTGTCTGAAACTGGACAACTACCGGATTCACACAAGAGGTTTAAGTACCAGTGTGCATTTGAGACTTGTGTGGCCACCCTTTTTTTAGCAGGACATGCTGTCATATCTGGCTGCTCTACCTGCAGGTTGCAGCCTGCAGCAGTAACTATACTTTAAATCAGTAGTTCCCAGAATTCCTAAAATGGAGAAAATGTGATAAATGGATTCGTTTTGAACTCGGGTTCTTAGTGAACACCACTTTTTATTATAGGGTTTGAACTTTACATCCACATCAGGGTAATGACAGCAAGATATTTGTCAATTTCTGTCAATTCATTTTACATTTTTATATGGCAAAAAGTATATGTAATAAAATATTATAACCTTCTTGTTTAAATATACTTAAAATTGACTAAAATCTCAGCCTGTTTAGTTGAAAACAACAATGATATACTCGCAGGAATTGAAGAAAGACACTCACAAAGATCTTCAACAGCTCTGATTCTCTTTTTTTCACGTCCATTTGCTGCCACCTAGTGGAAGGGTATTTAATTGTTCTGGAAGAGCAAGATATAAATAATATATTTTTTAGAACAATTAAGTGAAATTGGATAATTTTCCATGGGACACCTAATGATCACTCACAACACACTAGTGTGCCACGGCACACGGTTTCCATGTATTCATTGTGCTGCAGTTTCCGTCCACAGTCTAAAAATATTAAGGCTGGGGATTAGTGAGTGTGAATGGGTGTTTGCCTGTTTGATTGGCAAATGATTCAGGGTGTTCCCCACCCTGGGGCTACGACTCAACTGCTGGGAGTGGCTGGCAGCACTACACTGGGACCTGTAAAATGGAGCACTGTGAAAACACTGCTCCTTTCCCCCACTTTTTATTAATTTATCGCCCAGAAATTTCGCATCTAATGAGATGTAGGAGAATAACAAAAACAACTATTTAGAGGTGTTGTTTCAGCTACTTCCACCTTAATGGAAACACTGACGAGGCTAAAAATACATGACAATTAGTATTTCTATAACCTTAATAATTTCAAATGTTTGAGTCTTCTTCACGATCTCAGAATATTCAGATTATTAATTATTTTAATTGCCTCCAATTTTAAACCTATGTTTGTTTGTTTTTTGTTTTCTTTTTAATCAAAAAGTGTTGTCAAGTAAACTCACGTGATTCAGCCTGGAAATAGCTTTTGTTATTTTTATATTTATAAAAGTATTTTTTCATTATGTCTTTACGTCTTATATCCACATTTTATCTATGATTTTTTTTCTTATATTACAATCTAGATTTTGCAAATTGACCATCGGATAAAAAAAAACAAAAAACAGAGTCATATAATTAGAGAGATCCTTTTCTTTAAAAAGGTTTGTGCACGGGGAATCTGAGAGTTGCAAGCCTCTCGTGAGCAGAGCTTACTCAAGGATGGGTTTTGGCAGGCTGCTTTTTTCACTTCCCCCCCCCCACCCCCACTGTGGGAATAGGTTACACTATTGGCATCCTGCTTCAATCCAATTATTTCCTCTCGAGGAAATACATTTTTCTGCAAAGCAGGTGCTTTTTTGAGTCGCACGAAACCATTTTCCTGGTTGTCTGAACTTGATAACTCACGTTTACATAGTACTTCAGGCAAGGTCAAACCGCGGCTCTTTGCCCGGTTTCATGCGGCTCTTACTTGCAGTAACAGTAAGTAAATTGTGGCTGTTAGCCTCTGACTGGTTGGCCACCCCTGCAGTAGTTTAAAGACCTGTAGCGACATGGTGCAGTAGCTTTTTTGGGCTCCCAGTCTATATTTACCAGCTGAGGATAGTCACACCGTGTCTGGTTCACAGATACTGGCTGTTTGGATATTGACAGCACGACAAATCAACACTGGACCTTTCCACTTTAAAACACTGACTCTGTGTTAATGTGTTAAGGCGGGAGGGCGGGGCTTGTTTAGAAAAAAAGAGTTAGCGTTCAGAGCGAGAGTTATGTGAGCGAGGGTCAATGGGGTTATTGTGTGTGAGAGTTGAACCAATTTTTGTGCTTTGTGAGCGCGGCGCTGGTTTCTTACGCAGCTTCTGTTTGTGTGCTCTGAGAATAGCCACCTACGTACGTACAGTATTTCTAGTTGGAAAAGCTTTTGACGATGATGCTTTATAATTAAACCTGCAATGATGGTGGCATGGAGAGTCCCCCAGCAACAGCAGAGGGATTCTGTGTGTGGCATACCCCAGGGCGGGGTTGTGAAGACATTATCAGCAGGGGTGTGCCACATTTGAGCAAAACAAAGGAACATTCTGGTATAGAAATAATCACTGTGTCCATTAGCATCACAAGTAGCTGAGCAGAGCAGAGTAAATCGGAAACTATTTGGATCAATTAGTTAAAACGTAATTAACTGTTGTGGAATTAGCATCCTAAAATCTCTATCCTTTGTGTATTTACACAATTAACAAACTGTATTTTATTGGTTATATTTATAACAAAAACATTTCAAAATACTCAAAAAATGGTTTACAGTTTAAGAACTGCTGATGCGAAATGTTCCAATTAAGCAAGTAGAGGTCTTGCTGTATGATACAGTAGATCATTGGTTCCCAAAATTGGGGGTGGGCCCCCTGTGGGTGGCACAGAGTTAATGCAAAGGGAGCAGGACAAAGTAATTTAATTTTGAATATTTTTTATTTGTGCCACAGTGGGAAATAATCACTGATTTGTTATTTTATTTTCAGTTTTCAGTGAGAATATTCATTTTTAGGAATTACAGTGTTTTTGTACACCATATTTCTTTTAACCCTTTTTGCCCTTCATGCCCTTACGGTTCACAAACATGATTTTGTCAGACCAAATTGAGGACATTAAGGAATTCGACAGCCCTCTTTCCACACGGTCATCATTGCTGTTGGCTGTGACTAAGTCCATGCCAACAGATTCATTTTTGCTTTATGTAATATGTCGTTCAATGTAAGTACCAAAAATTAGCGTAACGTCGCCGCTAGGAATCAGCTACGTTAGACAAAAGGTAATGAAGATTGCTGGGTTCGTCGCAGTTTGACACTCGGACTAAAATAACACATCGTTTGAAGCTGGTGAGAGGCATGCCAACTCCAGGTCACACGTTTGTTTTCACCTTGCCTTTGATATGTTTAATTATGCAAATGAATCCCATTTGTGCCATCTGATCTGAGCATGCCTTTTCATCCGAGTGTGAGACGGTAATGCTCTGTGTCTGGACCCGGCATTTTTGGCTGCAGTTCAAGGGCAGTGATATGGTCATGTGGTCCTCTAACGAAGATATGTAAGTCTCCTCGGTTACAGTCGACTTATTTCACGCCGACTTTAAACACCTTCCACAGCTCATGTTGCAGCCAACGAGCACCGAGGCCAAAACTCTGCCTGAGTTTCTTTAAAGGATTAAACTCATGCCACGATGTATCTCACTTTAACCTACAGAGCATAAAGTGACCCCCCAGGTTCATCGCCTAAAGGTTTTGGCCTCTGTGGGTCTCTAAATATTTGCGTAAAGAGCGGGTATGAGCAATTTGCGGCCCGGGGGCCAGATGCGGCCCGCTTGGCTTTTCAATCTGGCCCACCAAACGTATCCAAATTATGTTATTAATTTATATTATTATTGTACCTCTGCCTTTTCCTTGCAATGCTCACATTTCCCCAAAGGATGAAGTAGGAAAGGCTAAAAGCATTTTAGAATTTTAGCCATTATGCATGACTTTTACAGATCATTTAATGCAACCTGAAGAAATTTTAGGAGTCAAAGAGTTTGCCCACGCCTGGTATAGAGTGTCTGTGAAGCCCTTAGCCAAACACTCCACAGACAGGAGGAAGACCAGGAGGACATCACCAATTTGGTGTGATGATTCATCATGTTGGCATCTTGCACCTTCCCACTACTTACTTTCTCTCTCCTCTTGTCACTGCTGCTGTGTAAGCAGCCTGAAATCTTAAGCCTCTGATCCATAATGAAGGGCACAGTTCATTCAGTGTTTCCTACAGTACTGGTACAGTACCAGTCCTTCATGTCCTCTCTGTTTTTCTCCTCTGTAGCACTCCTCTACCACCGGCCCACTGGAAAGATATCCGGGAGGCTCCACATTTCACTATGGCGTGTCAGCTACTGTGTCAAGCCAGTACTCCATTTGAATCATCGCTAGTGTGTGTGTCTGTGTGTGTGGGTGTGTGTGAGAGCATGAGGTTTTAGCAGCTCTTAGCACTATCCTCTATTTATCACCAGAGATAAATTTATTCCATAAATCATGCCATAAATAGCACGATCTAGAAACAGTCCTGTATTAATACCATTTAACTACGCTGTTTATCGAACATTTTGTAAGTGA